ACATATGCAGAAAACGTAATACTTCAAGTCGAAGGATAGTTACACCCGTGGTCGCGCTAAAGATGCTTAGAGCATGAACTAAAAATTCAAGCAACATCTTTAGAATGGGTCAGTCCGGCATCCTATTATCTCTAGATAATATCTGCCCATGTGCGGATGCGAACACACCGTCATTGACCATGAGACTAAGTCAAACATCCAACACACACTAGTCTTACATGCATTAACGATATCCCACTCTCGTTAATACTCGACTATGGACATTTAGATAAATATTTATTTCAAGATGTTAGTCTCATCAGCAGAATACCACTATCTGATAAACATCTTTTAAATATAAATCTAGGAATATAATATTTGTTTACATTAGCATGAGATGTGTAAACATATTATATCTGCCTATACATGATAGAATAACGATAAACAGTTGGCCATGAGGGCACAACTCCAACACATATGTAACCTCCATCTTGTCCCACATTTCTTTTGCAGTGGTGCAGCAAGAGATCTTGCGATAATCATCAGGATTGACGGCACAGTACAGCATGTTGATTGCCTTGGCGTAGTTCTCCACCTTTTTTATGTCCTCGGCATCAAATTCGTCCTCGGTTTTTGGGACTGTGGTTTCTCCTACTTTCTTCATTGGGATTTGCTCTCCATTTTTGATGACCAACCATAATTGGAAATTGGTGGAACGGATATAGATTCTCATCCGTTCCTTCCAATAGGAATAGTTGGTGCCATCAAAGAGTGGTGGCCTAGACGTAGACTGACCTTCTCCAATTCCTGCATAGAGATTTTTTAAAGAAGAACCCATGATCGCTTTACTCTCAAACGGTTAAGTTTGGACGCGAGTTAGGCTCCGATACCAATTGTTAGAATAAGTGACCAACGCTAGAGGGGGGGTGAGTAGCGATTGATCGTAGAAATCGCAGGAATTAAAAAATTAAAAGAGAAGTAAAGAGAAGAGTGAGAGGCACACCGAATTTTACCCTAGTTCACCACAACCTGTGGCTAATCCAGCCTCCCGAGAGACTCTCTCGAGCTACACTACTATCTCGTTAAGCTTGCGGGTGCTTAACAAACTGTTACAACTTGAGAGTTCGAGTTACACGAACCTCAACGAGTCCTTCAAAGGAAACAGCCCTTCCTTTGAATCTACCGAGAGAAATACTTTCTCTCAAAGTGTCTAAGAACATGAATACACTCAAGAACGAGGCTCTCTTAAAGAGTAGATTATGAGTAAACTAAGTACACTCAAGAACACAACATAAGCTTCACAAAAATGGCTCTCCAAAAAAGCTATGAATAAAGAATGAGTGATTTGCAATGAAAGAGTAGGAGTTGTGAAGTCAATTGATATGTAAAACAGACCCAAACACCCCATTTTATAGTGGAAAAATAGGCTCCAACGGACCAAAACATTTAAGGGGTGATTTGCACAATTTGTGGGATTTGATTAAATTTTGATCTGCTGAAATTCACCCAGACAGCGCTGTCCTAGGCTTGGACATCGCTGTTCTAGGCTTGCGTTTTGAAAATTTGGAAGCAACGGTCATGCCAACAGCGATGTCCAATACCCCTACATCGCTGTTTTGGTTGTTGACTTCCAAAAAAGGAAAGTTTTGGCCTTAAATTCCTTCCAACGGTCAGGTCCCTACATCGAAGTTCAATACTAGAACATCGCTGTTTAGGTCTGACATTGAAGATGGAAGTTTGGCCTGACAGCGCTGTTTCTGGGTCAACATCGTTGTCCTGAAACTTTCTGCCAATGCACTATATTTTTGGCTTAGGTTGGACAGCGCTGTAGGGAAGCCTACATCGCTGTTCCAGAAGTTTCTGGAAATCCAACCTTGGCGCAACAGCGATGTCTAGTGTGCAACATCGCTGTTGGAAGATTTAACGCCAAACTATGGTTTTCAGCTACTCAAGCCAGACAGCGCTGTTGGGTGCACCAGCATCGCTGTTGGGCTGGTTTAGCCAGACCCATGGTTGGTTTAGTCATGCCGTTAGCCGATGTAAAAAACGTAAGTTCTCCAAAATAAAAACTAAGTATTGAAAACATTTTTTTATTGCATTTTGCTAAGAAATCAAGTAAAACAACTTAAAAACCACATCATTTAGTTGAAAACCACGGCTAACCAAGTTTGTGTCGTTTTGCATGGTTTTCACTAAACGACCATAAACAGAAGGTGGTTTTTGAAGCGTTTTTTTGGAGAACTGCTTAAATATGCCCTGAAGTAAAAACCAATCATAAAAATTTAAAAACCACTTGGTTGGTTTGGATGCCCAAAAACCAATGCCGAAAATCGAAAGCCGAACGCCGGTTTCTGAAAGCCGAACGCCGGATGACTTGGTTTTTGGTTTGGGCGAACTCCACGTGTTTTTAGCCAGGTTTAAAAACTTACGAAAAACATTTTTGAATTTGCAAAAAGGGTTTTGATGAATTGAGCCTAGAGAGCCAAGATTTGGAAGTTTGTGCCGGTCTTGATCACATTAAGACCGACTTGATGCAATTCTAATTCTTTGTTCTTGATTCTTGGTTCTTGGTTCACATGTCATCATGTCGTGTTTCTTTGCCTTGGTTTTTCTCACTTTAGCCTTGTTGTGTCACGGCGGTTTGGCATTATCAAAACCTGTCATAAAAACGAACATAGTTTAGTACGACGTAGGCGTAAACCCGTGTTCCAACAATGTTCAACCACTTACACAATTCTAGAATGATTTGGAACATCGCTGTAGGGAACCCAACTTGTGGCTAATCCAACCTCTCGAGAGACTCTCTCGAGCTACACTACTATTTCATTAAGCTTAACGGTGCTTAACAAACCCTTACAACTTAAGAATTCGAGTCACACGAACCTCAACGAATCCTTCGAAGGAAACAGCCCTTCCTTCGAACCAAACAAGAGAGATACTTTCTCTCAACGTGTCTTAGAACACAAATATACTCAAGAACGAGACTCTCTTTTAGAGTAGATATTGAGTAAACTAAGTATGCTCAAGAACAACTAAAACTTCACACGAATTGGCTCTTAAAAAGCTATGAAAAAGAATGTTGTTTGAATGCAATGAGAGTAGGAGAATTGTGAAGTGAATTGATGAGAAAAGCAGACCCAAACACCCCTTTTTATAGTGCCAAAATAGGCTCCAACGGACCAATACATTAAAGGGGTGATTGGCTTGATTTATGGGATTGAATAAATTTAGGATCTGTAGGATATTGGCTTCCCAGCGATGTATGGACTTACCCATCGCTGGTAAGCCAATTTTCCTTCAGTTTTGAAGCCAATGGTCACCTACCCATCGATGGGTACAAGCTTCCCATCGCTAAGTGAGAGGTTGACTTCCAAACAACGAAAGAATCAACCTTAAATGACTTCCAACGGTCATGCCTTCCCAGCGATGGTTAGACCTACCCATCGTTGGGTTCCGATCGATGGGATAAAGTGTTCATCGCTGGGTTCCCATCGATGGGATAAAGTCTTCATCGCTGGGTAAGGTCGTTCTGCCTTGCGTTGATGTTGGACCAAGGCTTTAACAGCGATGGGTAGAACTTCCCATCGCTGTTTGGCATGGTTCTAGAACTTGGTTGAGCTAGAGGACCGCTTACCCATCGATGGGTAGTTCCTCCCATCGCTGGGTGGATGGTTAGTTAAAAACCCCTGGTTTTTTCCTGAACCACGGCCTAGCCAACCGATGCAAAAACCACGGCTAGCCAAGTTTATGCCGTTTCGCGTGGTTTTTGCCAAACAACCAAAAAACGAAAGGTGGTTTTCAAAGTGTTTTTGTTGGAGAACTTTTTACACATGCCAATAATTAAAAAACAATCATAAAAAGTTAAAAACCACTTGGTTGGTTCGGACGCCAAAAACGAACGCCGAGAACCGAGTGCCGAACGCCGGTTTCTAAAAGCCGAACGCGGGATGGCTTGTTTTTTGGTTTGGGCGAACACCAAGTGTTTTTAATGTTTTAAACATGTTTGAAAAACATTTTTATGATGTAAGAGATGCAATAAAAGAAGTTTGGCCTAAAGAGCCAAGGTGCGAAGGTTGGGTCACTCTTGATCACAATTGACCGACTCAACGATACTAAGACCATGGTCTTCATTCTTGGTCTTCGTTTAGCTCTTGTTCTTATCTTCGTTCTTCGCCTTGTATATTCAATGTTTGTCTTGATCACGGCGGTTTGGCATTATCAAAACCTGTCATAAAAACGAACACGGCTTTAGTACGAAAACGTGACAAACTCGTGTTTCAACATAATGAATTCTTATTAATCGGTTAATAGCTAATAATTAATTATTTTATCCTACATAATCGATTATCTCTGTGTTCTACTGAAGCATTTGAAGACAGAAGCTATTAATCGATTTTCCCATCTCCTTTTAATCGATTATTTCATGCAGAAAACTTATTTTAAAACATGTTCTTGATATAAAAGAAATATGATCAAGATGGAAATGATTTCTAGAAATAACTATGATGTTTTAACAAATCCAATAACCTTATATGATGCATGATGGTAAGTTCGGGTGTTAACAATCGGAACTAGGCCGCTATTTGCTATTGAATGTTATGTTTATTGATCATTATGATGAATAATTTTTATGGATGATTATGAATTATGAACATACTAATTAAAATGATTTTGATGACTTAATCATGACTAAAATTGGATATATTGGTAATCACGAAGATGATGCATGTTGTTAAGGATATCTAGAAGAACTCTAAGATATACCCGTTTGGAAATTGATGGTGATTATTAAGGAAATCTAGAATAACTCTAAGATATAGCTCCTTGACCAATTCATAATTCAGGGTTAAAACGTACATACAGGATCCAGACCAGATATCACCCGCCCGATAGTTCACTGTTCGGTTGGTACATAATCTGTTAGACAAATGTGCAACTCTAGAGGGGGGTGAATAGAGTTGTTTCCAAGAATGTGCGTTTTTCACGTGTGTGAAATAATAAAATCGCAGGAATAAATAAAGAGAGTAAGAGAAAGAAGAACACCGAGATTTATACTGGTTCACCACCTCGTGGCTAGTCCAGTCCTCCAAGAGACTCTCTCGAAAGTCCTACTAATCTTCAAGCTTCAACGGGTGCTTGAAAAACCGGTACAACTTGAGAACTTGAATCACACAAGCCTCACTTTCTTACAAAAACAAGACTTGAGTCACACAAGTCTTAAGAACAACACTCAAATGAGATTGAGTTTACAACACAAGAATGAAAGCTCACACAATTGAGCATAGTGTTGAAGAATTAAAGCTCTATGGATGACAAAATCTTTAGCACTTGATAAAATATTTCTATCTCTCAAAATAATATATTTGATGAGGAAGATGGAAGCAAGAAATGAAGATAGCTCAATGAAGATATTGGAGTGCAAGAGTTGTGTCTTGAAATGAAGGAGAAAGAGGGATTAAATAGGCTGAAGAAAATAGAACCGTTGGAGCAGTTGAGAATAGGAACCAGACAAAATTAATCGATTAAAGTGGAGAAATTAATCGATTAATCGATTAAAGATCAAACATGTAAATGTTATCTACTCTACTACCACAAAGAATAGTCTTATTGTCACACAAGCGTTCTACAATGCATTTTCTAGAATCAAAGATGACACGGTTACCTCTATCGCACAATTGGCTAATGCTAAGAAGATTGTGCTTGAGGCCCTCAACAAGAAGAACGTTCTCAACGGTTGTAGCATTGTCCTTTCCGACGGTGCCCCTTCCAATGATTCTTCCTTTGTTGTTGTCACCAAAAACGACATTGCCACCTTTGAAATACTCTAAACTCCTAAATTTGGATGCGTCTCCG